TAAAGAGTTTCAAACCCGACGTTTCGAGCGTTAGCCCTTCGTCAGAGCAAAGGACTACCACTCGCTTCGCTGTGACGAAATGACCCTGTTATACCTTCCCACCGACTCAGCACCACAGTTTCCTTATATTTTTTTTTCCATAAAAGAAACTAGTATTGTAAAACAAACTTGTAAATTGCATGATACATACCATGAATTTCATTATTTTTTTTTCCTTTTATTGTTTCAATTCATGCATAGTTATAGAAAATCTGTACAAAACGTTCTGAAGTATTCTTAAAAAACCTTTGAGGTGGCCGGGGGGCGCGGCCAATTGGAAATTTCATCGAAAGAAGGAAAATTCTTTTCTTTTTTGTACAAAATCTCCACCTCTCCAGACGAACATCTTGCATGAAAATTTCATACTTTTACTACCTCCACGACTTTACTTCTGAATCTGCCGTACCGTGCTGACCTAGAACTGCTATATCCTCTTTAGTTGCTTTTTACTTTAAATTCTAACTTACAATTTTCAAAAAGTCAGTGAGATTTAATTATAATAACTTTCTCGATCGAAGAAATCAGCAAATTCTTTTCCTTTTTTTTTTAAATATACATCAAGGCTTTTGATGGAAATAATAACAGGTTTTCAACAGTTTCCCACGACTTAAATCCCCCCATCGTGGGACGCTACGTCCGATTTCGTCCAGTTGACTGGAACGGGGGCATTGGCATGAGGGTGGAGCTGTTCGGTTGTTCAGGTAATTTTAACAGTTGGTTATAGGCATTCATGTCAAGTCGTCTCTAAGCCACATCTCGTATGAAGCACACCCAAAAATGACGTAAAAGCCCCATGTGCAGTTGTAATCTCCCATTCCCCGATGGAAACTGTCTTTGCACATTCTTAGGCAGGATGATAAGTTCAAGAAATAGATTCATGGGTTCTCCTTCCCGCTGGCCAAAGCATCATCAGCTCCGACTAAGTAACAACTATCATCCAACAACATGCTGGGAAAAGCGAAATAGCTCGGATTGTGCCAGCCACTTGGCTCGTTCACCTTTCGGTCATATCGCGTACGCTTTTCTACCTTTACAGAAAATTTTGCCTGAAACAAAAGGAGCCTTATACCGAGTAGAAAAACATATGTGATACAATCAATGCGCGAATTTGTCGAAAAGCTTACTAGTCCTGTTAAGAAACACAAGCATACACACACTGAAACCTAGGAAGAAATACGGTCTCTATACTCTCTTGGACGGAAATATAGTAGGACGTACGACTCGGCAGACTCATAATAAAAGTAATAAAATAAGATGGGATAGGCAGAGCAGACGCACACAGGTACTTACATCATCTAATATGATTTTTGCAGATTTGGATGAATGTCAAGAGCAGAATCACAATTGTGACGGCATGGCGCATTGTAGCAATACTGTGGGCTCATTTAATTGCACTTGTCTTCAAGGATTTACAGGAGATGGTATCAGTTGTTTTGGTATGATCTTAAATTTAAAAATTTAAGTCAGGATTGTTTAGGATGCGTAAACGTCTTTTTCCTACTTGCCAAAGAGCTGTGGACGAGGAAATTTTGTCCCAAAATAAAAGAAAAGAACACTATTTGAAAGATCATCAAATCAATATCTCCTAATAGGCTCGGAAATATGCTGGCAGATATTTTCAGTTTTCATCGTGCTCGCTCTCGAAAACTGGTACCCTTCTCTGAATAGATGATGTTCACAGTCAAATATTTGGAAATTTTGATATGTATTGGTCTTAACAGATGCAATGCAGCTCAGTCCGATCTTATCCCTACTTGTGCGTCCATATTTCCTGTGACATCAATGCATACCTTGGTATCGTACCCATTTTCTCAAATAAAGTGAATTATCGATCACTTTGAGTCACGATAACCTTTTACAACTTGCAGAACAACGTTTAACTATGGATTTGAATAGGGTATGCTAAACATTTTTTTCCAACTCCGACGAGATCGTTCCGTCAATAATTATTTCTTCTCGTGCAGAAAGATAATGCGTGCCAGTAAATAAAAGGGTACATATGCCTCAACAAGTACGCGCATTAAAGATTTGAATGTCTGGTAATGTTTTCAATATGATTCTTGCCTCCTCGTTTCAAAATAAACTCAATATTTTCTTTAAGGTTACAAAGAAGGCCATTTTTCCAAATTGTACCACAAAAACTACTTGTTTCACTTCATCTAATGCAAGCTGTTATTTACTTCATAATGACCTCTAAATCCATAGATATAAACGAGTGTAAGGAAAGACTGGATGACTGCGCTGCTGAGGCACAGTGCTGGGATAGACATGGCTCATTCGAATGTAGATGTTTACCTGGATACTCTGGAGATGGACGATTTTGCAATGGTACGTA